GACAATTCAATTGTAGGTTTCTGAAACTGGAATTATAGTCATGATTAAACTGCAGATGTTTGGAAGACATTTAAAAACAGCATTTTACAAGAAGAACTGCTGGAACGTTTAAAATGTAGCTTTAGTGTTTTAATCTGATTAATCGAAAAGAACGATCAACAGGTGAATCAATTATCAAAATAATCCTGAGTTGCTGCGCTAATATTTACTGAGCTAATATGTCTGAGTGTGAAATCAGGTGCAGCTTGATTGAATTGAAAGAGGCTGTTGGTCCTTGGCAGAGCTCTGCTCTCAGTTGAGCACCGTTTTAGTTGAATCTGTTTTAGAGGCGGTTGGTTAATTTAATGGTCATTTTGGAGGCTGTACATTGTGGAGCTGCTGTTCAACTTAGTTGGATCATACTGAAACATGTTCCTAATATTTTGTCAACTTATATTTCTATAAAAGGGATGATTGATATTCTTGAGGCTACAAAGTGGAGACTTTTGATTTTTAAACCAGTCAAACTGAAAACATATCACAGGAAATGTTGTAAAGGCACAAAGTCATAAACTCCTATGGATCAGGGAATCCAAAGTCAAAACTTTTAGATTCTTCAAGCAGTCACAAAGCAGCGGATGTCTGTAGTGCACTTTGACACACTGAATTTTTTTTTCCTGTGCACATGTTGTTTTTTTGTTGTTTTCTGGCTCTATTCTTTATTCTCTGCTGCTTTGCTCAGGTCACACAGAGAAACGGTGATAAACACGTTGAAGAGTGTCCACACTCCAGGACAGTAGGTGGCAGCAGTCAGGATGTCAATGACTCGCTACCAGTAAACAACGAAACAGGAAGTGGTTCTTTTGAGAGGAAGAAAATGTGCTTTAGTTTATTTTCTGAATTTCAGATGTGGATCAAACCACATTTATTTCAGTTTGATTCTTAGTAGTTTCACTTGAACTGACAGTTGAGCTGTTCTTAGAGGTTAAATGAGATAAAACAGACGATTTGAGTTCAGCTATTCATATGGAAATACCGCATTGCATGATGGGAAATCTAGCTGCTGTTCATCAAATAAAAGTCAGTCCTCTCTGTCAGGCGTTGTGCTAAACAGTATCGTGCGTATGGACTTGCTGCTGAGTCCCAGCCCCCTGCAGCCTGTGGYTCAGTGGATGTATTGATAGTCAGCACCGTCAGTCATGATGGTTTGTGTGTGGAACAGTCTCCTGCCTGTGAGCTGTAYAACTCATACTTACCTGGCAGGGGAGACACCATGATCAAGAAGGTGGTTCACCCAGGGCGAGGCTCAGCCATTGCACTCCGGTTGTGCTGACCCCTGCGAATTCCCCAAATGTGGGAATCTCGACTGCATAATTTCTGGTAGTGGGGGACTGCGTTCGCGCTCTCCCCTGATCAAGTGTCTAAGAGAACAATCTGCTGCCTCAACATCAGAGCAGCTGAGAAGAGGCTCCTCACTCMATCAGCTCATGAACCAGGAGACACTTCACTCTCACTACAAGTCCTTCCTGCTGCTGCTTCACACCCTGTTTTCTTTGGTCTCAGCAACTAACCWCACTCACTTCACTTCCTGTTTCTATCTCCATTATTTCCTCCTGCTGTGAGTTACACACTGAAACATGAACTTCATGTGTCCGTCACACTTTGTTTGTACTGCTCATATTCACGGATCGCACTTTGTCTCATGGATCTGAACAAGGTGCCACATCCTCTGTTCTTAACCCTCGACTAGTGTGAGGGAAACTACCTACAAGTCTWTTAACAGGGAAATACTGAGAAACCTCAGAGTCACATGTGAGRGATTCATCTCCCAGGACGGACACAAGAGCAATAGATGCTGAACACATCCACTAAATAAAAGTTTTTACAACAGTGATGAGAAGAAACAGTTTGTAACATGAGGGGAAAGTGTGTCAGTGTTAAAAGTATTTATAGATAAGAAAATGTCTGATAGAGATGAAGCGAGCAGCAGCGACTAATGAATTCAAGAGTAATTGTCAGTTACAGTATGTTGATGAAGTGTGTTGTTCATACTCCAGGACAGTAGGTGGCAGCAGTCATGATGTCGGTCACTCACCGACAGTAAACAAAGAAACAGGAAGTGGTTCTGTGTGTGTGTGGGGGGGTGCTCTGTGAGTTCTTTTGGTTTTCTCTGAATTTCAGATGTGGATCAAACCACATTTGTTTCTGTGTGATTCAGCTTTGATTCCCTTGAACTGACAGTCGAGCTGTTGTGTGTTTTAGGATGTAAATTAAATCAAAGACGATTTTAGATCTGCCTTTCATATGGAAATGCAGCATTGCATGATGGGAAATCTACCTCATGAAATAATGTGACCAATCTTTGTGTAAAACACTTTGTATTTGTTTCTCTTTCAAATGGTTGGATTCACAGTGATTCAGTGACTTTTGCTCGACTGTGGTTTGTCATATTTTGTTGTAGTTTCACTGACTGTGTGTAGACTGTGAGTTCAGACCTCAGACCTCTGAGAGAGAGGGACTGTGAGGAGAAACAGGAGGTTACCTCCGACCTSTCCTCAGTATCGCTTCTCGGCCTTTTGGCTAAGATCAAGTGTAGTATCTGTTCTTATCAGTTTAATATCTGATACGTCCCCTACCCGGGGACCATATATTAAATTGATTTTTGGAACAGGGAGATGGAATAGGGGCTTGCTCCGTCCACTCCACGCATCGACCTGGTATTGCAGTACTTCCAGGAACGGTGCACCCCCCTCTCTATGTTTAATATTAAGCCATTTTGTGTTAGAAGTACAGTTAATGTGACTTGTTCTGAAGAACTCATTAACTATGAACTTCACAGATTTCAGAGATGTTAGTGTGATCCACTCTGTCACTGTGATGAGACGACATTTTCATAGAAGACTTGTACAACATTAAAAACATATTTTAGTCTTTTGTAACTACTCAAAACTCCAGTTATCCACAGATGTCATTTCATAGATTCAGACTACCTTGTCAKTCAWGTCACTTCATTATAGAAATCTACAATTCAGTAGRATTRTCATTTWTTAGAGTATACTATAATCTTTCATCCTTGGGATAAACACAATATAATTCTGACTAGTCATAAATACTACACCATACTGACTAGTTCAAAGTTAGTTTAAGGTGTCTTGAATTGAGATGAATTTAAGACCTCTTGAAATTGGATTATTGAGCTGCTGTTGAACTTAGTTGGATCATACTGAAACATGTTCCTAATATTTTGCCAACTTATATTCCTATAAAAGGGATGATTGATATTCTTGAGGCTACAAAGTGGAGACTTTATTAGATTTTTCTACCCCACATATCACAATGAGACATTTAACTCAGCAGTAATGTGTATTATTATGTGTATTCAAAGAATGCAGGTTATCGATCAAAGTGCAATTCCTAAAACATTAAAATGTCAGTTGCAGAAAATGAATAGAAAATGTTTTTTTTCATCATAAAAAACATGTGAACAGTTCTGAAAGAAGAAGAGCTCTTACATCAGTTTCATTTTGATATGTTAGACTTTTCACAGGCAGTGGAAGAAGCTCAAAGTACCAGAAGTAAACATAAACACAGTGAGATGTTATTATCCCTGAGATGAAGCAGTGTACACAGTTTAAATTCAGTAAGAGCTGCACAATTTTCACACCCATAGATATCAGTCCTCCAAATGTGATGTGTTGTAATAATGGGGATTATCCGATCAGTGATTCCAAAAACACTTAAACAGACCAGAGAGCTGAACTCTGACATCTGTGGTCACATGTTCATGTTTTAGCTCCTGTGTCATGTCACTGTTCCAGACAATATAACTGAAGACATGTGTCCTCCACCAGAGAGGATATGTCGTCCTTTCCATTTGTGTTTCAGCAGGATTAAACAGAAACTACCAAATGTATTTCCACAAAAGTCAAAAAGGGAAGATGGGATGTGAAAGAACTTGTGTATCTGGACAAAGGGTCAGATCCAGGAATTTCTTTCATCACCTTCTTTGATATTGTGACATTTTGAGTGTTTTCCCATGAGGGGATAATTCCTGGATCCTGATGAACAAATAGACGACTAACAACTGAGTTTGAGCACTTTGGTGCAGCTTGATTGAGTTTAAGGAGTTTGAGGACTGTTGGGCCTTGGAGGAGGTGTGAGATCTACTGAGTGACAGAATGAATTCCTCACTGAGCATTATTCCCCCGTTACAAGTTTAACTTTGCTTTGAAATGGAATTGACAATCTCATTTAAAAAGTACATTCTCCCACAATCACAGTACAAATAAATACATCATTTTTTCTTTGGTTGAAAACCACAAAACTGTAATTTACACATGGTGTCAGTTTCTCAAATGTAGTGTTGTCCAGGTCGTGGTCGCTGTGTCAGTAGTTGATCACATTGCTCGCTGTCGGAGATTAGCTCCCTCGCTGTTTCTACTGCCGGTTACATCGCTGTTTCCTGGCAGCAAGGGACTGAGCTCTAAAAGTAAAAAAAAAATGTTTTGCATGATTCTGATTCATCATTTGTGGTTCACAGGTAAAATAAACCAATTTAAGTTTCGTTGGCCTATTTTCAAACTTCACTTACAAACACCTTGTTCATACAAGAAACTCAGTAGACAATGACCAAACTATATTTTTCACCAAACCCCACATAAAACAGTTAACATGAAAGATCTGAATCTTTTTTTAACTTTGTGAAAAAAGATTGAGTCAATTTCTCAAAAAGTAAAACACAAACAAAAAAACATACAACCATATATTGTGAATCTTCCAAAACACTTACTGTAAATGCTGCTCATCGTTTTACAACTGCTGCTATCTTAACTACTATTTACAACATCCTGTGGACTTACTTTACTTTACATGAAGTATTTTTGCACTCAATCCATAGTTGCATACTTTTTTTGTACTATGTTTCAAGTACTTAATATGTTGTGTTCCTTATGTTTTGTCTTCTTAAGTTTACACAGGGGATCAGAGAGAAACCACAGTTCAATCCCGTCTGTGTCCTGTTCATAGCAGAATTGACAATAAAGTTTGACTTTGACCTTTGTTTTCAAAATGTGTCTGTGATCCTCAGTGGAGCAGAAACCTCACAGTGAAACACTGAAGGTGAAACTGAATGTTATTATATGACGTGCAGTCACACTCCTGGTGTATTCTGGGACACAGCCTACATGCTCAGGAAACAGGTTTCGTTAGGTAAAGGTTAATTGGCACCACTGTCTTTTGCTTGGTCCACACCCGTCTCTCCATTTCGCATTCTTCTCTCCACATTCCCTCAGAATAAAAACTTCAGAATGATCTGGTACAAACGTCGGACATGTCTCCATCCAAAGTCCAACTCATGTTATTTTTAGAAGTTGCATTGAGGAAACACAGCAATATTGCTGGAGTGGATTTGTAATAATTAATATTAACCAAAGTCATATAACATGAATGTAACATAGTTTGAATTAAACGATCAGGTAAAGTAAAACACACTTTGTGTCCCACCTTATCCTGAGATGCTTCATAGAATGTGTATACGGTTGAAACAATATAATATCAAGACTTTACTAAATAACATTAATGACACCAGACTGATCCTCTGATAATACCCTCTAACATTCAGCTTAAAATTATGACTTTACTCTCAAAAGATTATATGTCTTTGTCCGTTACATGGCCATAACAATCTGTTGAACGATACTATGATTCTGTTGAACATTATTTCTTCTCCTACCTTTCATCTCAGTTTCCAGGATCAGACGGTTGCAGTTGTTCTTATGCTCTTCAGTGTCGGTTGCTGTGGGGCTGTTCCCAGAGGCGGCTGCATTTGTTTTTACTTCATCCTGTTTCCCCGGAGCGGTGGTTTTATTTCCATCCACACCGTCCATCTTCACTAGATAGAGAGTCTGCAGCAGACCCATGGCGTCAAAGTTTTCTCCTGAGCATTCACCTCGTCGCCTCAACAGTTCCAACACCTACAGGCAACATGAGACACAATGATGAAAAAATGCTGTTTTAGCTGCTGACGTGAGGAACTGTGAAGAAGAAGAAGTCTGTTTTAGTGATTCAGTCATTATTCTTGAAGTAATGTGAGAGTTCTGCCAGCGCCATGTAGAGCATTTAGTTCCCACTCAGAGTTCACACAGAGTAAATTTAGTAAAGTAAAATGTGAGTGATTTCAAACAGACACAGAAACTCAGACTAACACGAACACACCTTGATGTATTTATAAGACTTCAGCTCACTGATGTTCTCCTCTAGGAAGAGCAGGTACAGGGAGAGATCGTCCCACTGGCCTTCCGGGTCGGGCAGGACGCTCACTGTGGGGAGGGACTGGTAGGTTTCCAGGAATCGGGCGTGTCCGTGGCAGAAGAGCGGACGCAGAGCGGCATAGATCACCACAGGAATCAGTGCGATGAACAGGACCAAGTTAACAAGACTGGAAACAAAAGAAGACACTGCAGCTTTCTATGTAGAGAGGTTCATAAATATGACAATCTAGCTGAACAAGCACACATTAATTAAAACATGACCTATTTGGCCGAGGTAATGACTCTCCTCTGTTTCTACGTTGCACTCCACAAAGAAATACCTGAGCAAGGAGAAGACTCCCACGGCGACGAGCTTACACTGCACCTTGTCGGGGATCCCAGGGTCAGAGGCGAGGAGGCCGACACGGAGCTTGCATCCGAACTCGTCAGTGACAGAGGCCAGGCGGAGGTAGTAACCCAGGTAGACGCAGGCACAAACCAGGGTGACGAGAGTCAGGCCGCGACACAACAGGTAGCGAGTCAACATCCCCCGCGAGCAGCGCTTCGTCATCATGAACTTCTCAACCAGCGGGTAATTAAAACAGCCCTCGGTCGGATCGCTGGTCCAAAGGATGAGAGAATACAAAGAGTTAGACTTGTCAGGTCAACAATCAGGAAGTGATTATCAGGAACAAAAGAGGGAAAATACTCATTGCTCTGTTATAAAAGTCTAACTGCTTCAAAATAAGGCAAAAGTTAATCCTTCACTTATTCCAGAACAAAACAGTCGTTACATAAGATGAACTGAAAGTCCAGCTCACCAGTGTGTAGAAGGTCAGACACCATCCAAGTTATGTTACAGGGTTTAAATAATGAAGTTGTTCATGTTAAGCTCTCAGTGTGTGTCTCTCTATAATGGATCCAGAACTGATTCAGGATCATATCTGGCATTAGATGGATTTGGGAACCAGCCTTCAACACAACACAAAGGGTATTTCACACACTGCCCACACTCCAACTAGTTTTCTTAATCTAATGTTCAATCTGAATCCAAACTCTTCATTCTAAGAGACACCTGTCTGGTGTGAGCAGTCCCGACGTGGCCATGCGCTTGGCCAGAGTGACTCTTCAGTGTCGGTTGCTGTGGGGCTGTTCCCAGAGGCGGCTGCATTTGTTTTTACTTCATCCTGTTTCCCCGGAGCGGTGGTTTTATTTCCATCCACACCGTCCATCTTCACTAGATAGAGAGTCTGCAGCAGACCCATGGCGTCAAAGTTTTCTCCTGAGCATTCACCTCGTCGCCTCAACAGTTCCAACACCTACAGGCAACATGAGACACAATGATGAAAAAATGCTGTTTTAGCTGCTGACGTGAGGAACTGTGAAGAAGAAGAAGTCTGTTTTAGTGATTCAGTCATTATTCTTGAAGTAATGTGAGAGTTCTGCCAGCGCCATGTAGAGCATTTAGTTCCCACTCAGAGTTCACACAGAGTAAATTTAGTAAAGTAAAATGTGAGTGATTTCAAACAGACACAGAAACTCAGACTAACACGAACACACCTTGATGTATTTATAAGACTTCAGCTCACTGATGTTCTCCTCTAGGAAGAGCAGGTACAGGGAGAGATCGTCCCACTGGCCTTCCGGGTCGGGCAGGACGCTCACTGTGGGGAGGGACTGGTAGGTTTCCAGGAATCGGGCGTGTCCGTGGCAGAAGAGCGGACGCAGAGCGGCATAGATCACCACAGGAATCAGTGCGATGAACAGGACCAAGTTAACAAGACTGGAAACAAAAGAAGACACTGCAGCTTTCTATGTAGAGAGGTTCATAAATATGACAATCTAGCTGAACAAGCACACATTAATTAAAACATGACCTATTTGGCCGAGGTAATGACTCTCCTCTGTTTCTACGTTGCACTCCACAAAGAAATACCTGAGCAAGGAGAAGACTCCCACGGCGACGAGCTTACACTGCACCTTGTCGGGGATCCCAGGGTCAGAGGCGAGGAGGCCGACACGGAGCTTGCATCCGAACTCGTCAGTGACAGAGGCCAGGCGGAGGTAGTAACCCAGGTAGACGCAGGCACAAACCAGGGTGACGAGAGTCAGGCCGCGACACAACAGGTAGCGAGTCAACATCCCCCGCGAGCAGCGCTTCGTCATCATGAACTTCTCAACCAGCGGGTAATTAAAACAGCCCTCGGTCGGATCGCTGGTCCAAAGGATGAGAGAATACAAAGAGTTAGACTTGTCAGGTCAACAATCAGGAAGTGATTATCAGGAACAAAAGAGGGAAAATACTCATTGCTCTGTTATAAAAGTCTAACTGCTTCAAAATAAGGCAAAAGTTAATCCTTCACTTATTCCAGAACAAAACAGTCGTTACATAAGATGAACTGAAAGTCCAGCTCACCAGTGTGTAGAAGGTCAGACACCATCCAAGTTATGTTACAGGGTTTAAATAATGAAGTTGTTCATGTTAAGCTCTCAGTGTGTGTCTCTCTATAATGGATCCAGAACTGATTCAGGATCATATCTGGCATTAGATGGATTTGGGAACCAGCCTTCAACACAACACAAAGGGTATTTCACACACTGCCCACACTCCAACTAGTTTTCTTAATCTAATGTTCAATCTGAATCCAAACTCTTCATTCTAAGAGACACCTGTCTGGTGTGAGCAGTCCCGACGTGGCCATGCGCTTGGCCAGAGTGAC